TACATAATATTATATTTATTTTTTTGATATTAATATTCTCCTTGAAATATAAAGTATTTAACTAAGATATCTTAATAGGTAATTACTTTAGGCTTTATAGACTTAAGTATTGGCTTTTTAGAAAATAATAACGGAATTATTTTAATATCTCCTTCTGAATTCTTCTATTAAGATTATTCGTAAACATTAAAATTAAAAAAATACTTTACTTGATTATTCAAATCATATTTTCTCATAAAATTAACAATCGTAATAAGTTCAAATAAATCCTTGATAAGCCAGTCTTTGTTGTAAATATAAATCAACTAATAAAAAGTTTTTCTATTTTCCGAGGATTCTCTGAAACTAATTGAAATAATCGAAATAGATTTGAAATCAAATAATTTAACATCCTTCCAAATACCTTTCGATATATAAAGATATTATAGATTTAAAAACCATTTTGATCAGTATTCACAAATAACAAATCAAATAACTTCTAAGGAATTGGATTTCGATATAACGAGATTATAAAGAGATATAAAAAAAAGTATATATAAATCAAAGTAATCAAAAGATATATATATATAATAAAAATACAATATAAATACCAACCAGACTCATAACTATTACAAAAGTAATAACTATATCTAATAATCACTTTAATCTAGAAATAGATATATAGAATAATAATAAACTAGATTGACTTGAAATATGATCCTTATAATCATATCTACTTTATATACCCTAATCAGACAAGGTACTCATCTAATTAGATATATAGAACATACAAATAAAATAAATGAAATAATATTAGTAATCATAAAAGTAAATACTCCAAAGAAGTACCAGGATTAGTGCTTGTAAGATTACACTATATAGTGAATTCCGTAACATTTCTTTCATTTATAATAATTATGTAATCATTTGAATAATAAAAGATTTCAAACAATCCGAGTCGTTTTTAAATAAATCCTAAATTACTATCCTAATATCTTTTTAAACTATAAATCTTGAAAATTCACAAAATTCTTTCTTTATATTTGAAAGATTTTTTTCTGTTCCCTTTTCAGTACTTCCTTCTTTCTATTATATATTACTTTTTTCTTATTTAACAAAATTAGTTTTATTTCATTCAAAATATCGAAAAGATCTATAGAAAAACAGTTAAACCTTTAAAAAGTAATGATTCGAAAAAAAAAAGAATTCATATAATCTATAGATGACTAAAAATATTGATATTAATAATTTGATCCTAGCTCTATAGATTTAATAAAAGAACTATACGTTCATAGAGTATATTACATATAGATGTTAAATCTTCGCCCTCCTTAAGATAGTATGAGAGTAATATACCGTAAAAAGTAATACAATTATCATTATAATTACTTATTATCAATTCATAATACAGTGAATTAATTTAGATAATTAATAGAATAAATTATTAAAAGTATAGTTCGTGTAATATCAGACTAGAGGGAGCTAGTAATAACTAATACTAATCGAAAGCTCTATTTTATATAAAGCTTTTCCTCTTAAATTTAGTTATATTGTATTTAATATAACTTAGCTACTAATACTCTTATATTCTACTCTATACTTTCTATTATATTCTCTACAGTGAGTTATACTTAAAATATTCAATCAAATATAATACAATTCTAATATATTTAATTTCTTCTATAACTAATATCGATTTAATCTTATAATTAATTTTATATTTAAATATATTATACGAATTATTAGAACTATTTTAATATGATTATTAGAATTCATTTTTGTAATATCAATTTCAAATATAAAGTTCTTGAATATTAAATATGAATCTTATTTTATTGATTTTGAATCTAAAGTTTATATAATCTTTAATTGAATTAATAATGATTTTTAAAAAATCGAGTATATTAGATTTATTATATATTAGAGTTAAAATTATTTGTTATTTTGAGATGATTTATATAATTTATTAAAAAAGTTAATAAGTATGATTTTTACTTCGAGAATACTCTTTTAATAAAATACTATATAAATCTCAATTTAAATCTTATTATAAATTTGATTATGAAAGAATATTTAAGTTAGATTTTCTAGCAATAACTCTAATCCTAACCCTAATATTTTATAAAGTATTATATTAGTTAATTGAATTCGATTATCTTAATCTTATGAATTTATAAACTATGTTTTCTCTAAAAGCTTAAAAACTTCCATTTAGATTGACTAGTAATATACGATTTCATTAAGGTCAAGTTATTTTGTAATATCGAAAATTTAAATTTGGGTCATAAGAAACTCCGTTCGCCGAGCTCCACGCAAAAAGTGAACAGAGGGGGATTCGAACCCCCGCGGGCTAGGCCCATGAGAATGCTAATTGATTGAATCAATTAAGTTGTTAAACTTGAGTCACACGCCATAACCACTCGGCCATCTGTCCTGTCAAATTCACGATGCAAAATCTCGTGTTGTTGAATCCTATAATGCAAGCAAATCTGCAAGGAAAATTTGCTGCACTATGTGGGGAACGTGAGGGGCTTGGTGCTTTGCTTGGGTAAGGTGCGGGGTGTTCGGATTGTTTATTCTCTTTTGAGTTCCAAGACGCTGTCAAGTAGTAACAACAGAAGAGCATCGCGAGATGATAGTTGTTCGTTTCTAAAGGTTATGAGCTTATTTTTCGTGGTCAACAAATGTTTCGTCAAAAATGTGTATAATTTATCTCTATATCTTTATCACCACCCAAGCTTACCAACGGTAGAATCCATAAATTTCCCTTGAATTCATTCATAATTTTGTGTCACTCTTAAGAGCCTCTGTTTGTATAATTATTTAGCGGAGTAACGAAATTGCTTTCCTAACAATCGGTCAAGAATTCCGGATCGCTTGTGAAAGTAACAGTGAATTGTACTGGGCCAAACGTGCGATACTGGCGGTGTTGTCATCGACAAAAGCATAAAGTGTGAAGGTACAATACCCGTTGGCTGGAGAAGGAAGAATCGCGGATGGAAATGTAAAAGGGGTAGTAGTTAAGAGCCATGTTATGACAATTTGCTTGTATGCGAGGGCAAGTTAAGATAGAAAAGTCTCAATTGAGACGGGAAAACAAATGACCGAAGGTGAATGATGTATAGTTATATATAACAACGAAGTCCAATAGATAAAAGGTATGGACCTTTTCACCTTCATTTACAACCTTGATAATGACTCAATCTCAGGATGAAGTCACGGTTGTATGTGAAGTTGGTCGTATGGCCAGAAGTAGGAAGCCCAGGCGATCATGTCCAAGAGATTATGATGAACCCTGGTGCTCTTGGTCATCAGTTATCAGATACCAACACCAAGGCGTCTGCTTCAGCAATTGAAGGGTATATTGTTGATTCGGAATCTATCGGTGATCATGCAGCTCCCCAGAGAACCGAACACGGGCTCGTGGCCAAAAAAAAAACATAAGGTCAGAAACAAATTCTTCGCTTTTGGTCGACGGGCTTGAAGAAATACAATTCGGAGAGAAGCACGTCAACTATAAGTTCCAAATAGAAATCAATCAGGTTTAGGATGGGTGTGCCATGAATTACATCAGCTCAAAACACGTTCTACAGCGTGAAGGTTAAATGAAAGGATAGGAAACATAGAAAAATAAATAGAATGTGTATATAGAACAGTTTAATTCTTAAGGCTACAGATCGAAATTGTCATGTGTTTGCTGATATTCAGAGAACAAGAACAAGAAGAAGAATATGTTCCCAGTGTGCCCGTTACAATCATCCTGTTGCACTTTTAAATCAACGCGTTGCATAACTAGTCTTTGCCCTACTTAGAATACTAGCATCTCATGTCCAAGTAGTCATACCAGGATCTCTAACTGCTGAACTGGTAGGATAGAGAACATCTCTTGAAGTAACCTGGTGCCTCAGAACCAATCGAGTTCACGAAAAGGTATTTGTGATAACAAATAAGACGTCCTAATCTGATCATCAGACATTGCTCCTTTGATATTAGTTGGTCTACGAACCACTGATGAAGATATCTCGTGTTTAACCTTTCATGTCTGATATATGACATGGGCCATCACTGAAGACATACCAAACAGCTGCATACCAAGAACATTATCTCCATTGTTCCATGCATTCAGTCCAGCCCTTAGCGAAGGAGATGGCCTTTGTACCACCAGGCCTTTCAAGATCCCGGAAGATTGTTTGTTGCAAGTCAATTTCAAGAGTTTTGAAACGAATGGTAATACACGTTTGGATAGCATTGAAGGGTCGGATAGCATTGAAGGGTCGGGATCTGTCGATGAAACTATTGCGAGTGATATGAAATGTTCTTGCGGATGTAATTGAATTGGTTGAAAATGGATTGAACCCGCAAAAATCATCGTTGGTTCATGTCCTGGTTGAGATATCCGATCTTTCATGAAGAGAATGTCTATGTCATCCAGCACATTTAACCCAACATCGCAAGTAAATCAACGGATCCGAAACAAGATTATTGGATCGCAGGTGCAACATTGCAGCCTCTAGGGATTACTATTGCCGTGGTGTGATGCAATTTGAACAACCAATGAGAAAAATGTCTGGATCGGGCCCACTTCGAGTTCTAGAGCTTGGAGTAAAATGACTGACATATCCAAAGGATTCATTGATGAGCTTCTTGTCCACATTTCCACAATAGGCATGAAAGATGAACTTGTAAAACCATTTTTTCGCACTTTTCTTCGATCGTCTTCTCTCTGATCATCCCTCGTTCTCGTTTCTTGTCACGAGTTTGCCTGGTACACTGCTTCCATCTCTGTGACTTGTTGAAACTCCTTGTCAATCCTTTCCTGAAATTCCAAAGAGACAAATAGATGGAAAATGATTTCACTAATTAATATAGCCTACTTTCTCATGAGGCTTTGATTTAAATTCCGACTGGGAAATAGACTCCCAGAAAGGTGTTTATGGCTAAGGTCCAGATCAAAAGTTCCTGAGAATCATGTCTCTGGGAGTTAAGACATCATGCACTTATGGTCTAGATATCGAGGAAGACTATATTTGACACGAGCAACTAGGGGGCCCATAATGCTGCAACAAACTTTCGACAAGAACGTCAGCTGTCGGGCGACATTTTTGATCAAAAGCCAGCATATTTTGAAGGAGTGAGGCCATCCACAAATCTCCCAACTCGTTAAACCATGGCCCTATCATATGTGAAGTCGCATAGTAGACGTAGGTCATTCTATCAGGTTCATCTGGTATTGGCTGGCTCCTGTATTCATGAAAGTCCTCGATGCGTTCGCCATCAGCCACAGTAGCCATCTCTGCAAAAACGCATCCCAGGGAGTAAATATCAGCAGGTCGGCCCCTTCGATCATCTGAAATTACTTCGGGGGCACTGTACATTTTGGTGATGCCTACTAAAGGCCCTTCTGTTGAACTTGTGACGCCTGCACTGAACTGGTGGGCGGATCCAAAATCAGTCAAATAGACTTGATCGCCCTTGCAAATTATATTATTTGGCTTGATATCCTTGTGTCTGATATTCTGAGAGTGAATATACGACACGGCAGAAGCAAGGCAACATTGCCAACCACTAAGCAGCTTCATGTCTTCTTCTGGAAAATCACTGTCACTAACTCGTTCAAGAAAATGGCCTAGATCTTCGTCACCAGCTGGAGATATGAGAATCCCAAATTGCCGAGGAGCTTTGATTGTCTCATAAGTGCTGATAACCTTGACGATGTGGTGATGAGAAAGACCCCGAAGAACTGCCACCTCTTGCTGGATCAGAGGCAATAGCCTTTTTCGCGAGAAGTTGGGGAGACGAATGATTTTCCGAGCAATTAAACCATTATGATCTCTATCATTGAAACGAACTGCATCAACTATTCCAAGAGATCCGTGTCCTAATTGTTTGATTGTAGTGAGTGGAACTGCTTTATTACTGGTATATTCTTCGTGAGTATATTCAATGATGACATCTTCGTGAGAGATCCTGGGCGATGGGCAGACTTTTAAGTCATATAAGCCGCTGCCTTGATCCTTCTCAGATGTAGCTAATGTAGCAAAAATGCTCCGCTCTGATGCGGCATTTTCGGTCGATATTTCTCGCCGTGCCATTTCAAAGTTGAGTTTCTGGAGTTTTGTTGCAGGTGATAGTGTAGGTAGTGGATCAGAAGAACACGGAATTGCAGAATCCTCAAAGCCCTGAGTTTCCCCACTATCAATAACTTTTGGCTCATATGAGACATCTAAATCGCCTGAAGGATAGGAAGCCTGACGGGGTATAGCTCCGTTTGGAATAGAGATCACTCTTTCACTACCAATCAAGCCGCCAAACCCAAATCTTGTCTTCCTCGCCGAAATTCTTGCCGATTCGCAGATAGTTTTGCAAGATTTGCAACTATACCCTTCGCTCCCCACGACTACCTTTCTTAGACAGCTTTGGCATCTCCACCATTCTGCCTCGAACCTACATGTACCAAGGCCCTCTATTTCTTCCGTCGACAACTTTGAAGATAATCCAATGTCTTCTTTGTGGAATTCTCGGAGGTGGGTTCTGTAATTTATTTTTGGCGCTCGAAAATCTGACCGAAGGAAACGGACCTTGGAACCTAATGCACTGGCAGTGCCTATTTGTGATTGGCATGAAGGATAGTCGCAAAGATGATAAGCTTCACCGTGGGCATTGACATAGTGTTCCATGAGTACTTGCTGAGAGGGGAAGCCACTTTGATGCTCTGGACATGTTCTAACATGGCATGGGTAGGAGATTGTAAAATCGTCCGAGAATTGGAAGGAAGAAGGCTGACTATGCATTGTAGGAATATTACTTTCGCTCGAGTTTTTACAAGCGTCAGCATCGGGCAATGCTGAAGCTACGGCTGCCTCTTTCTCAAATTTGATGTGATCTTGTTTTTGCCATCTTTCTTCTTTACCATTGATTGGGACTGCTTTGCTATCTCCATCTGCACAGCTCACTGGTCGTGCTAACAAGGATTGAACGCCATTCTTACAATTATCGCCCCGGACAACGTTTTTGGCTTCTTCAAATGTTGAATCTTTGTCTATGAGCCATTTTTTCAACATATTATACCTGGTCAGAAGCCCGGGATCACTCCTGAGTGAGTTGTAGCCATCGCTATGGGGTATAGTATGGTTTATTGTGATATTCACTGTAACCCACTTCTCCAGAGCTAGATCTGGCCGTTCTAAATTATCGAGAAACGTATCTGCTTGCTTGATTGAGTACTCCGCCAAATGAAGTAAGCCAAGTATGGAAGCGCCGGATGGTATATCGGATTTCACTGCCAGGAGGTCGTCTAAGTGACGATAGGGGCGTTTATACGCCTTCCACAATATTTCATTCCGTATGGGAAATCTCTTGGTAGTATGCACCGTTTCTTTTGGATTAAGTGCGCCCCTCTCAGAAATGCTTTCACTACAATCTTGGTCTTCGGCCTGTGCTCCCGGGACTCTTTGGTTTTGACGGTCGTCCAATACTTTCTGTGATTTTCTTGACTTTCTTAGAGCCACGTCTGTTTTTGATGTGAGATCGACTTCGCAATCCGGGGCGTCCTCTACAGGTCGCAGCCAGTCATTTGATGGCTTCAATTGTTCCCAAAAAAGGTTATGAGGTGTTGGCTTGCGCTGTTTGATGGCAAAAAACCGCCCAAGTCCCGGGAATTTCTCCTTCATCAGTTGAACTTCATCCTCATCGGTCTTTGTCATACCATTTTCCCGTGCGATAACGTTAAGTGCCCCGCTATCTCTCACAGATACAGATGTAGCAGAGGATTCGTCCATCGTCTCTCCATGCTCGATGGAAGCTTGGGATTGTTCCGAGATAGCTTGGGACGCCGAATCTTCCAAAATTTTGACATTATCTTTGGCGATAAAGTTATCCATAAATTCGACGACCTTGCCAGGTACGATCCCGCAATCATTGGAAGAATGCCACTTGTGTTTGACTTGCGATAAAGCCTGCAAGAAAAGCGATTATTGTACGGCATACCTTGCTAGGTATAGACTTCACCTCACGTAAAAGTCTGTAACAGTTATTGAAAGATGATACTTGTCAGCCGCCCACGCATGGGTGTTGCAGGCGACTAAACCGCTTTCGAGACGATGCATTATGATGCTTGCAAGTGACGACAGAGCTGAGGCGCGGAACAAATTGTAGAATGGTGGGATGGCTGCAAGAGAAAGTTGACCGACCGTTTGAATTTGTGATCATATCGTAAATTAAAAGAGAATCAAAGCGATGAAAGCAAATTGATCAAATGAGTGTTCTGATGGGGTGTGCATTTGACAATACCACCAATATCAATGTTGTAATATATTTACTCAGGTACCTCAGGTACCTACCTAGGTAGTATCTAGTGTGTGATGCAACGAGCATCTGAAAGAACCATGGCGCGTGCGTGGCTGGAGCAGTTTACCACGTGCTTACTTTGATTGTGGCTCATGAAGCTGTGCACAGACTCTTTCTTGGCAGAAACCTGTCGGATGAATATCCATATGGATATCCTGGAGATTTGAAAAGACAATTGAATCCAGAGCGATCGATCCTCGGTAGGTCAGTTCTATATCGAAACATCGCAATCCGCTGTCGAAGCTTTGTTTTGTACCTCGAACCTGAGATTTCCAAGTATTCTTTGGTCAATCGTCAACATGTCAACATGCACAAAGAAACGGCGCCTCATTGCTTGGATAGCCTACACACAAATACGTCATAGACGGGAGATGTTCAAGACTACCTAGGTTGGTAGCTAGCAATCTGAATTGTGATTGATCAAATCAACATTCCTATCCTTCTTTTTTTTACAATATTGATAAAATATATATGGGGATGCCATACGAAGCCAAGCTATCTTTTTCTTTCCCATGATACACAATATCGAATTCTTCCACTTCTCAATGTTCTTTCCATTACTCGTTGTATAACACTCGACAATATCCTCGTTTCATTCGATTCCGACATTGCTTTTACTCAGACGTTGGTCACATTGATACAGCCTTCCTCATTTGTCAGTTCGATCCAGAATCATGGATACACGTAATTCCCACGATATTCCGAGTCTCAACGACCCTCATGCTGTACCAACAGATCCCTATCGCGGACGCGCGCAACCAATTCACAATCTACCTATTAGAGTCGAAGCTCACGAAGAAGACATACCTACCGATAGCCATGCTCTGGCAGTCGCAGATCACGAAGAGAAAGGTGCAGCACAACTAGATCATGGAAATGTTGAAGTGCGAGATTTGGGCTGGAATGATCATCCTGACGATGTTCCTACCCCTCTGGTCGGGGGTCTACCAAACGAAGAATTATGGACTTTAGTTCGGCGATTCAATAAGCAGATGTATCATGTCAAATCGTTGCCAGAGCCACCACTTGGAGGTCTGGATTTGAATATTGCGGATGAAGAGGAGTTCTCACCAGACAAGTTGAGAGCAAATGTAGAGCGGCTGTATATGACAGTGATAGTCGGGCTTGTGACCTTTTGGAAACATATTGCAAGGTTAAGGTCATGGAGGGAAAGAGATCGAACAATGGCTTTCGCATCAGTCTACTTCCTGGCTTGGCTGATAGACTTCCTAGTACCAACCATTGTTGGCTTTTTGATCGTGCTCATAGCATGGCCGCCAGCAAGAGAACGCTGCTTTCCTCCAGCACCACCCGCACTTATTGATAGCACAACAGGAGGAATCAAGAAGCCGACCGCAGGCGTGCTGGGTAACGACACTAGCTTGACTGGAGCCCCCGAAAAATATCGAGGAGAGGCAGTCGAAAAAGAAGCCAGCAACTTCGTGAACAGCTTTACCTCCATTGCAATTAGTAGTACAGCAGGGAAACACCCCCAGGGAGATCCATCTGGTGATGAAGCCGCGCCCAGTACTCTCGAAGACGCAGCACCAGACCTAACAAACCTTGCAGTCCATGCCGCAGATGCAAAGGGAAGCAGTGCAGGAGATCAAACAAATAGCCTACATGATAAAACAAAGGAGCCAATGTCGGCAGCAATGTGGTCAAAAACCCGACCTGTCATGCATGCCATTGCTGACATATCTGATGGATGGGAGAGATTTGCAAATGCATTGTCTCCAACACCACCATTTCCTCGTGACACACCTCGACTCAAGCTCGCTGGCTGTCTTGCACCTTTGCTCCTCATCTCCTTGTTTACCAGTACCTATGTGTTCATGAAACTAAATGGGCTTTTCATCGGGTTCGGATTCTTTGGAGATCCATTGATTTGGCGAGGGCTTTCATACTTGAACCGCGAATTCCCGAATTGGCAGAAGCTATTGGAGATTAGAAACACTTTACTGAAAGGTGTCCCAACAAATGCCCAACTTACAATCACATTGTTGCGAATTGGTGAAGCGAATAAAGCTCCAATTCCACCACCTCCATCCTCGTCTCTACCGCCACCTGATGTCGCGCATGCTACAGCAGGAGAGGATCTCGATCACCTTGGTAAGTAGATGACGCTCCGTGAAAAGTAACATACTAATTCATTCAGAAGGCGTATCTGAGGCAGAAATGGCTGATGCCATTAATCCAGACATGCATGCGACAACAACCAGTATAGATCAGTCAAAACCTAAGAAGAAAGGCCACCGTCTGTTGGCGGCCTTTAAAAGTGTTACTAAAGGTGGTGTCGAGACTGCCCTGGGAACGGATAGATTGAAAGCTGCAGCTGGAGCAGAACACGCGAAAAATCGTCTTGGTGTTTTAAAGGATGGGACGGACGATCCGGCGGGCCCTATACGCTTTCCCTCTAGACATAAGGGCCGAAAAGGACATGCATATATCACAGCCACCGCAACAACCCCGGCATTGAGCTGGACGACGGAGAAAGAGGACATTGATCCTGTCTTTTCTATAGCGATAGCTGACATTATGGTAAGTTCCATCAATATACCTGTACACATCGAAAGATATATGCTGATATAGCGACAACAGGAGATAAAGAAGGTTGGTGGGCTAGGCTGGAAAAGTAAGCTTGTAGTAGGATGGGCTACATCGCGAGAAATTGCGGATGGACTCCTCGTCGTCGACAAAGCCGGGGACCGAAAACAACTTACCGCCATCGCATTACGGGAAGAATTGTTCAATCGCCTGATTTCAATGGGTGCACAAATGTGGGAAGCATGGTAGAAAGCGTTTGGATGCTCATTAGTTCTGGGTCTTGATTCCCTGCCCTCTTTGGCCTGCATCGATTCGATTGGATTGCAACGATAGTACAGAGGCGCTTATCGAGAATGTCAAATAATGTTTGTTGTCTTGAAGCGAATAGTGAAGGCATAGGTTCTTAGGTTTCTAGGTTTCTAGGTTCCTAGGTGGCCCATTGCTCCAAAACAATTTTCGAATAAAACTTGCTTGTTGTTTTTCAGGGTCGTCATTGCAGGTGCTCGGCAGTCAATAATGCTTGACCTCTTTATTACTGTAATATCGTACATCGTACTGCGTAAGGTTGCATAAGTGGTCGAAGAATGAAGTTTGAATGGCTGGGAATGAATTCTAGGTGGTTACCTAAGGTATATATTAATATTAATCCCCGATGTTTTATCGACACGCAAATTAGGTAAATTAGGTAATCATTTTGATTGGTCCATGAGCCTTATCGATTGACGTGGTCAATACAGGGGACAGGCACTTGATTCTTTTCTTGTATTCGTACCGCGTCGCGCACTTCATCAACTTTTTTCTCTTGACCGACACTGACCATAGATAGGTGCAACTAACATCTCAATTATACCCATGACGTATTTCAATATAGCTTCAACCTCCGGATTGCCAACCAGATTTGCTGGGATGAGCTCTTTGATACCGTTTTCAGGATTGGAAGTCTTGGACACTCTGAATGGAGGACAACAAAGGTAAAATCAGGATCTCAAGATCTGTTGTTCCTGGTTTTCTTTATCCGCTTTGCGAATTGATTTCTTGGGTGCGTGCTTGGGTGAATGTAATAAGGTAGGAGGAGAAGGAGAGTTTTGTTTTGTGTCATGCTATGGTCAATCAATTTCTTATATGAATGATTCATTTATCGTTATTTAAACAATCGTGGCATGGTTGGTGATTGAATTGTTCACAATTTCCTGTTTCTTTCAATTGTTGATCTCCTAAAGAGCAGATAAGTACTCGTTCATTCCATACATACCCACCACCTGGGTATCATCTATCAAAAATCATCACACATCAAATATTCCAATCAATCACTTTCCAAGATGCAGCCACTAGCTGCCATTCCGTTAGCTTGTTCCATCGTGACATTCGTGCTCGGCATGTTGTGTCTTTTCGCAGGCAATAAGCCGGGTTTCATGGAGGACTACCACATTGTGACAGTATGTTCACAAGTCTCCATTTCTAAAGAGACCGCTCTAATTACATACTCTCTAGCTCAATACCTCCGGAATTGGACAAGACCTCATACCTACAACAACCAGTGGTTCTGGTTCCACACCCACCTCTCTATCCCCAGGCGGAATCGTTAGTAGTCTCAGCAGCTTGATACCCCGTGAACCTGGAATTGGCGATGACATTGCAAATGCACTGGGCGATCTTGAAAACGACATTGCGGATAAGCTTGCGGAAACCTTGGGTATCGAAGAATGGTACTCACTTCATTTGATGGACATGTGCCAGGGATATTATACGCCAAATGCAACTTCTAAGGGGGCAGGATTCAACGTAAGCTCTTGCACGAATCAAACTGCTATGTGTAAGTACTACTACTCTTTAAATTATTCTGCTACTTAGATTGCTCATATCTTCTCACAGTCCACTTCGAGATCAGTTCCATCATCTCCGAACAATTATCTATCGGCCCCCTTCATCTGAATCTTAGTGACATAGGCTGGCCCTCTGCTATTCAAGATGGTCTCGACACACTCTCCACGGCTATGAACGCTACCTTCGTATTCTACTGTATCGGCGTTGCAGCCGCTGGTCTAGCAATATTAACTTCGCTCGCCGCCATCTTTATAACAGGTCGTCTCTTCTCCTTCCTGAACTGGGGGTTAGCATCCCTGGCCCTCCTGGCTCTTACTATAGCCTCAATCATCGTCACTGTTCTCCAAAACAAAGCTGCAGAAATTATCAATAAATTTGGAAATGACATTGGAGTGTACGCATATAAAGGACAGAAGTATCTCATCCTGACATGGGCCGCTACAGCTGTTATTGCTGTTGCGACTATTGCTTGGGTAGGCATTTTCTGCATTGGCCGCAGACAAAAGGGACTTGAATTCCACGAGAAGGGTCGATTTGGAAAGAAGTCGAGACAGAGTGAGAGTAGCGAATTTGCGAGAAGGGGCGCGTAGATGTTGTGTTCTATTTTGTGGCCCAGAAGGTTCTTTTGAGTATGTGGATAGACGGATAGATTGTGACGAATTTCTTTGATCAGATATCTGCAGATATTTGGCATAATCAACATCCATTTATCTTCTTGTACGGCTTAATGGGAAGATGGCAGTAAGAAGAGGCGAAATGGATTGCCAAATGCATGCAAAGTTTTAGCAGGAGAATGGCGTAGATAATCATTCGGATAATGGTTGTATTACAACGAGATACCCAGACAAGTAGAGAGAATGCAATAAAGCACTATTAATGTATGTCGACCAGTAGAAAATAATGGGCCTAATGAAATCAATAGACACATACCTTCTTACGGTTACGCAGTACAATAGCACATATTCTTGAATGCCAGAAATTGAGGTAGATATCTGGGAGGGTGACAGGGTTTGATGAGCGCCACTCAAAGCTGGAATACGATGCTTTTGTACGGGAAGATAGCCTCACTATTATGACTATGATAATTTCTGATGGCGAGGGTCTTTGGATATTCTGAGATGAGTCTGTAAATTAGCGCATCACTTGTAACAAGTCACGTGAGCACTGGTCCCACACCTTGGAGCGTGCAATATATCAGCAAGGTTGTTCTTGTGTGTATGTAATATTTGATTTAGACCTCTCTATGACAGCGCCCTATCCTATCCATGTATACTGCAAGCTCTTAAGCGTCATCGATAACACTTTTCTGTGTAAAATGAGTTGCGTTCAACATGTATCAGCAGTTTTTTACATGAAAGAACCAGCTAGGTAATCTTCCTCTTCCTCTTCCTCTCCCCCTTCTTGTTGCCCTTCCTGTCCCCTTTCCCATTCCTCCCATTCACTCTCAGTGTACCCTTCATGCGTTTGTCTCCATGTTTTATTCCAGTCTTTCAATACAACCAATGCTTCCTCTTTGCCTAGTATTGGTGGATCTAGCCATGTATCTGTCTCGCCGAATGAACCCGTTACTCTTCTCCAGAACAGGTCTCCTTCTTGATATAGGTCATATTTCCTCAAATTTTTCCGCATATCTCCGAATATGTATTCTGTGTTAGGTTGCATTGACACAAGAAGTGCATCGCGTCGGGGTATGATTTCATTTATTATTGCCTGGTTTTCTTCGTAACGAGTCGCGGCCTCTTCTGGTCCCAAGGCCTTCTTCCATAAGTCCGTCTGTAGATCTTCATTTTCCTCCTTTAATTGCACAAGCTTATCCATCCATGTTGAATATTCCCAATGATTTTGTAGTACATCGTTCCAACGTTCTGTCAAATCTTCGGTGAGTACAGTTGCTGGTAATTCTCGACCTTCAAGATTCACATGAATCAAGTCTGTTGAAGATTTCGCCCCTATTCCCCATTTATTAGCCCATGGTCTGCTAGAAGAGTAGAAGAGCTACTTTACTTACTGGGACTGTTGCGTTCGTCGTCATTATCACCGTGCTTTGCACTTCTTCTCCTTTCACTTCTGAGATCGGCAATCTCTAGTTGAAGGTTCTTATTTTCATTTCTCAATCCAGCCATGTTTTGCCTCTCAGCGGCGGCTTCAGTTTTTAGCTCAGTGACCATTTGCCTAGTATCCTTATGTGCTTCTCTTTCGACTCCGAGGTCGACCTTAAGTCGCTCCGTTCGCTCTCTTTCGTCATTTTTTTCCTGCTTCAACTGTTCTATTGTCTGCCTTGCTATTAAAATATCTGGATCTTCACGTTGAGTGGTGTAATGAATACTTTCACGGATAGTCCGTTCGAGACTCCTAATTTGTCTGCGCAGAAACTCCACATCATCACTAGTTGAGACCCGTGGTGCGATTGGTGGTGCTTTGGAGCTTTGAAACCACGATCCCCACCACGAAACCTTTTGATCTGACTGTATAGCCTGAACCATTCTTTTGATTTGTGATGAAAGCAGGTCGAACACTTTGAATGAGTGCAACCTTATCCTTTCTAAGCCGGGGCTGGTATCACAAATTGGAAAACTTATTGACAACGTAGTAATTTGTTTATTGTTGTTTCAAGAAGTTCGTTCAATCTGCATTCTTGAAGTATAAATAACCTTTGACTTTGACTTGCTATGTCAAAATCCTGGATCATACGGCGATCTCTTAGGCCAATACAATTTGTCTTTATTCACTGAAGACAATCTACGCCGTACCGAAAGCCGAAAACGGAACTGTAGTGACAAAGAATTCTAGCCTATTATTTGTTCACTGCCATGCTCTATCAAAATCATATTATATTACGGACTGGCAATTATGTCAAGAGGACTCCTCATAATATTTTTTGCAAAGAAAATTAAAACATTCAAGAATGGCTCACCAAGGAGGCAAACAGGGAGAAGGTGGTGGGCGGGGAGGTTCACCAGCAGCTTGGGGTCGCGGTGGCTCTGCGAGGGGCAATGAATTAGGAGTGAATCGTAGTGCCTCTGGGAGAGGCGGTGGGCCAGCTCGTACAACTAGTGGGGCAGCGAGAGGTTCACCAGCTCTCACAAAGGGTAGAGGTGATGGGACAGCTCGAGGCGGTGGCCATGCTGGAACAGTTTCGGGTAATGTGTCATTAGCATATAGGCCTGCAGCTGGAGCCTTGACCCCGTCCGTGACCATACCGACATCACAGGGCCGAGGTCAACCGGCTCCATTGAAAGGAACAGCGCCCGTATTCCAGCCAGGGGTACCATTGGGTGCAAGTTCTGTTTCATCAATACCGCCCTCCGGCCAACCTGGAGTAACCGCAACAGCGCCTTTGCCAACCTCTGGGCAGCTTGTTCCTTTGCCCGATCCTAGGATGGAACTTCCATATGAAGGTCATGAACTTCCTCGATTTCCTCATGAACCTTGGGAACATGGGAAAGCAATGCTAGACAATCCATTTTGGTACGATCCAGTTCCTGGTACCATCATAGTAGACGGAGTAGAGAAGCCGAAGCTTGATAAGAAGCTTTATGAAGCTGCGGGAGACAAACAGCCCGAATGTAAACCACCCCCATTGTATAACGAAGCAATAATGCAAACAGCGCCATATAAAAGGATGGAACGGTATGGATCGGTAGAAATGGCACGTGCTTACCATCACGGGGACGTAATATGTGCAGTCGAACACTACCCCGACTTTGCCAGAACAATTCCGGAACAAAATGATAGATACCGAACTGACACAGTCTTTGGACCTGTTTTCTCGAAAGAACGTAAATATATTGTTCTTCAAAAATATCGCGAGCATTGTGTTGTGATACCAATATTTACACACACAGGAAGAGGCCTTGCTGCCAAGCCACAGGCGGTAAGGGAGCATTATATATCAATACGGGATGGAGACCGACCTAATCAGGCTCCCCCAGAGAACAATCATGGTAGTCTCCAAACGCATAGATATCCGCAATTTGAAGACCAGCGAGGACGAAGGGTTCCAAATTTTCACATCATGTCAGATAAATCTGCCGCTTATTTCGTTTATCCGATATGTCATAGATATTCAGTACCATGTATCTTCGAGTCGAGATTACGGACAGAAAGTCTCGATTACCTCTTACATATCTATTTGAACTATGGTCCGAATCCGTCCCCAGAATATTTTACGCATAGGAGAGATCGGCGGATTACAACTGCGGGGGATAATGTAGCACAAGGGATGTAGCAAGGTGTATTCGGCATTTTCTTCACATAATGTTAGATCCAAAATCCATTTCCTTTTAAAAATATGAGCGCCTCTGGACGTCTGTAGCGTCTGCGATGGATAATCTAGGGCAGAGTTGTATTTAAAAAGAGTACATCACCTTGAGGACAGGATGCGCTTTGAAAATAAGAGATGCTTAAAAATGATTTAGTGTATAGCAAAGTGAAAATTACACTGGGAATGAAGCTGGGGATCTGGACACTCAGGCTTCAAATCAATTTGCACAACCCACATCCCGGTTGCTTCTTGTAAACTACATCAATATGAAGAACAATTTGACTTTACACTACCTCAGTATTGATGACGAAACGCGAAAGTGGGTAAAATCATTTGAACCAGCGCATCAGTTACGTGTTGAGGTATATTGTTCCTCACGAATGTGATATTATCATCCAGGTCATACAAATCACGGGTCTATGAGAAGGTATCTGAATAATCCTCGGAGAATATGAGCTTCTAAAGGGCAGTTATCACTTGTGTACTGAGACATGAATCTGTCTCCCAAAATCCCACTTTTTTCCGAATATGTCTATTGAATATGACAAGAATGCAACCAAACAAAGGAGGTAATGCAGTATAGTTCTCAGGAGTCTCCAGATCCGACTTCCCGTCTATGCATTTATTTCATATGCCCTTCTTCTTCTTCTTTGTCCGCCACCTTTCCTTTGCTTTGTGATCCTTTCATCTTGATCATTCTTGGATTTTCCCACGCCCCCCATCAACATTTCTTTCTCTCTGGAACCGATCCAGCAAATATGTATACATGCAATCGTACGCCATGGCGTCTTTGATCTAGGCTAAGTCTTCTTTCTACATGAAAACTTTGAATTATTAAGGTACCCGACATATTCATAATCGGACCTGTGTGATTCAATTTGATGCCCTCTCCTCCACGCCAATACAACCTCATTCGATTATTATTTCCCTCTGTTCGTGAGTCCACACTACGAATTCGTTACAATCGTTAAAGCTCCATTTCGAACCCCAAATAAGCTGTCTTTGAAAACAATATTACCCAATATTACGTCTTTCAATTATTCGAATGTGTCCTGAGTATTTGAGTTCCTTGTTCGTTGATTTTATGAACTTGATACATATTTGTCGCAATAAAGAACGACGGTATGTCCAATCACAGGATCAGAGTCCCGTATTCATGTTACTTCTTGGCTAGTTCATTTTTATGATTTTACTTTTTCGGTTTTGTGCTGAGCAGGTGAAGGACTTGATAGTATTTTTTTCACACAACGCCATTCATCGGCAGCATCGAGTTGTTTTTAGTCGATAGCTCAAATTTCAGTTGCAGAAATCTTAAATTTAGGATCGGGGGGGGGGGCGGGCAAAAGGAAACAAAGTTTGGTTGATAAGTAAGTACTGCAAAGTCTGCATATGGATTTGAGAGAAATCGAAACATATACCGAGAAACAATGTCAAGCTAGTACCAGAGGGATAAGAATGAGATTACTTCTACCTCACAAACTGATCTCAGATCAACTATCAGTGACGATCATAGCGTATGAAGTTGAAATATGACATCATGACACCTTGCTCGCTAATCTTTCCAAGCCTGAAGTTTGAGTCACTCTTATTAGCTTCGCGTCAAAGTTCAACGGTCTGTCATTGATCTGCCCCTAATTAATTTAAGCGAGTCTAGTGCAATGATCTTCCTCTTGAAGTTGGCCTCGCGTGGCACTATTTAGCAATTTTTTTGACAGATATGACAGATGTGTTTTTTTGTCCATTTTTGACGCACTTATCGAGGATGAGTGCGTAAGATAAAAGACCAGAGGGGAAGAGTTTATTACGAAGTACGAAAACTAGTCGATCTTTCCTCACTTAGTGCCTTTCTTTCAATTCATTTCATAATTTCTTCACTACCTAAGGATCTTTTTTTTTTCACTTCAACTTTCACCACCAAATCCTCGACATACAAGTCGAACGCGAAAAGTCTACACAACTCGATTCACACAACACTTTCATGAAGATATTGTCAAAATGAAGGTTTCAAAAGCATATGTCTTCGTTCTCATCACCTTCTTCAACCTGAACACCGCAGCAGTGATTCCAGAAACCACTACTATAGACGGAAATCTGGTCCCATTCAACATGACCACTCCCGAAATCCCCCCACCATTTGTCGTCCTCTCCTCCCCTCCCTCCCCCACGAAGACCAAACGTGACGAGGCCAAAGAATCCTACAGAATAGTCCACGTGTATCAGAAACCCTGGCCTTGGCAAAGAACGAAACCAAAAACAAAGCCCAAGGTTACACCACGTCCATGCCCATACCCCGAGACTCGCCCATGCATCACGCAAAAAGAGATCGATCAAGGATGGCATGATAAGGCAGGGTGTTACAGCAGATCCTTGTTTTTCACCTGGGGGTCTACACATTGTTGGGACGCAGGAGATGATTGTGTTAAACCAGATTGCAGATATTGAACGTGAGCTAGTGTCCCCGGCTATTATATATAGAGATATTAACTTGTAGTAGCTAAAGAAATTAATAATAGATTGATTCATCATACAAAGTTTGAACGGTCAAGCCAGAAGAGTTCGATTACCTAGATATAATATCAGTAGGTAACTATTGGTTTGAGAAGGATACGAAAGACGTAGTATCTATATATCTGTAGGTTCTAAATGTCTATATTGTATTGTATTTAAAGAGTTAGCTATATATAGAAGATAATAGGTTTTATTTAGATATTAAGGAAAGAGTTAGCTTTTTTGTATTTACTTAGATTTGATATAATAGTTATTAAATCAAAGTCATTTATTTATATTTATATATTCGAAATTCTTTCTTATAATTTTCAATGTATATAGTTCAAAAGAAATTTATAAAATTATAAAAATTTGCTTTATTAATTAAGGTCTCTAATCTTTAGTAATAAAAATAGCTTTTTCTATTCTCTTTTTATTTATTTATTACTTTCATATTAATCTTATTTATATCAATTAGATTATGAAATACTTTTTTGAGTTAATTATATAGATCAAATTATTAATAATAAATCAAAAGATACTTTAGATTAATATATAGTTATAATATATATCTTATAGGCTTACTATCTATATATATTATATATATCTATAAACTTTACTAAAAAAAATTAAAAATTATTATATTATTTTTCTAGTTGAGATAAAAATTAATATTCTTGAAATTAAAAATAAAATGATTAAATTTAGATAAAAAATTATGAATTTAATTCAGTTGAATTACTGATTCTCATTTTAAATAAAATTATTATTTTTGATAATAAATATATTATTATCAGAGAGTAATCATCTAATAGGGTTTATATAATAGATCTACTATTCTAAACTAATTGAAATAGTTTATAGTTTTTATAAGTTAATAATAAAATTAATTAATCTTAATGTTATGTTCTGATTATTATAGGGTATATATATAGTAGTAAGCTATTAGAAATCGATCCCTAATACTATGTCTTTTAGGATAGATTATATATATAGTATAGTGGTAAAGCTTATAACTTCTATTGAATCTACTTATATAATAGAGTATTAAGGATCTTATCTTATAGATATTGTTCTGAGATCTCTTATTAGATATACTTTGATTAGAATTGGATTAATAATTTATTGTAGGTTATGAGCTAGTATATAAGTATATAGTATATATAGTATATAAGAGGGATTAGATTAGTATTAGTTTATTATAGGAAGCTGGTTCGTATTAATAACTAAATAGCTTTGAAATGTGTGATTTTTATAAAATAGTATATGATATATCTTATTTCTTATTCTATATTCGAAGGGGAAAGGCCTTATTTTATACTTTTTTTCTACCAATCTAGCTTTCTATTATTGTAAATCTCTTCCTTTTTTGATTATTCTATTAGATATAGCTCTTCTTTCTTATTCCTTATTCGATTTCACTATAATTATATTAACCTAGCTATGTATAAGTTGAAAGAGCTAATAAAGAATCGGTTTTCCGGCCGTCCTAGGCTAGTGGCCTTAAGCGACGATCACGTGATATGATCATGTGACTTGGTCAGGTGACTTGGTCAGGTGATCCTGTGATTCGCTCCCAGTATACTATACGAATATAGAACTATATATATACATATATATAAAAAGATATATTATTATATTATTTTCATATAAAAATAATACAATTAATTGGAAAAATGAATTTATAAGGATGAGTATATATTTGCTTAATGATTAAATATTCTGAATTCATTAATAATATTAAATTATTAATAATAAGGATATTAGATAATAGGATAGTGTTAATCTATTATTATAAATTATATAGTTAATTATATATTATTAATAATAATCTCTATTTAGTTTTTTCGGGACGAAAAGATTAAAGAGGAAGGCTCTGTTATAAGGTATATATATAATAATAAACTATTAGAAATCGATTCCTGATATTATACCTTTTGGAATAGATTATATATATAATATAGTAGTAAAGCTTACAACTCCTATTGAATCCGCTTACGTAACACTGATTACAAAGGTATCTTATTCTGAAACTTTTATTTAATAAATTTGAATAAGAATAATTATACTTTAAATTTAATCCTAATAATTAACTCGATTATAATTACTATATTTCTAATATAATTCTATATTTATAGAATTAGCTTATTTTTAATTAATACTCAAATAAATCCATACAAAATAGAAATAAATATCAAGAAAAATCATTTAATAAAATTCATATTTTAAATCTGTTATTTCGAATCGATTAAAATACTTTATAGCTTTTATAGATTAATAATAAAATAAATTAATTTTAATAAAATATACAAGTTTTTATTATTTTATTATTACAATTAATTCTTTTAATGTTATAATAATATTAAATGATTTAACTAATATTTATTAAAGATAATAATATAAGTATAAAATATATAATATAGATTTAAAATAAATTAAATACATAATTAAATAATAATCTAAAGAGATATATATTT